AGATAGTGCTTTATGAAAATTTCTCTAATAAAAATGATAATGAGAAGAGGGTTTTGGGAGTCAAATGATAGATCTGATGGAATTTCATAGTATTTACTATTTAGTACAATATAGCTGTGTTCATGCATTCGCCAAAACTCCTCCAACTTTAATTGATTAGTGTATTTTAAGGCGGAAGAAAAATAAGGAAAGAGAAGAGGAGAAAAAAAGAAAGTAAAAGGGTGTAACTAAATCCCTTGATTGAAGGCACTAATAATGAATTGGGAGCCTTTTAAGGTGGAATGTATATATTTTGTAGATAAAACTTGTGTAGGTCGGGTAAATAATAAAACATGGACAATTTTAGTAATAAAGTTTCAAATAGTGTATATGAACGAAAAAATCCCTTACCCCAGAAGTCGGCCCTGCCAAATTAGTGGAAGAAAAATCTGTAACATATAAGTTTGGTAAAAACTACTCCCTCCGGTTCACAATAAGTGTCCAATTTGCTTTTAGCACGCCCATTAAGAAAATACTAAATCCTATACAAAAATACCTAGTATGACTAAACTACCCCTAATTAAACATTTAATGTGAGGAGTAAGAAAACTTTTTAGGGATATGTACATAGGGGTTATTTTGTAAAAACAAATTGAATTTTTTCTTGATTAAATAACAGGACACTTATTTTGAACCAAAATGAAAAGCAAATTGGACACTTATTGTGAACCAAAAGGAACAGTACAGTAGTAATTTTCTTACGAGATTTGAACTGGAGACTCCTCGGTGCCAACAACTTCAATTATTTTTAAAAACTTACTACCTCGTTGTTTATACAATTTAAATTAAACAAATAATTTCTCATGCAACTGAATTTAATCATGTGAAAATTCCTCTCTAAATTTTGTTAAATTAAACCAGGCCCCGTGCCGTAAAGTGCGAGGACTGTATAATGCATCACCTAAAAAGTATAACTTTTAATTCTTTTATATTCATTTTACAAGTATTACCGACAAATTGTCGGGACAAAGGAATAAGAATTCATGTGATTCATTGGAAAAAGAAATCATCTAACTTGCTATTAATCTAAATCAGATTGCTAGAACGATTTTTAGTGGAAATCATTGGCTGAATGCTTGATTTAGAAAGATTTTATTCATGTGATCTTGGATAGAAATATACACGTTTTAGGACGTCGTTGTTGACCATTTTTCACCCTAACGTCTAGGGTTTTTCGGACACTTTAATACCTCTCACCGGATAAACCACATGTTGTCAAAAGCAATCCCGTGGGAACAGATCTATGATTTTTTTTTTGTTGATATGTTACACATATTTATCTATACTATATTAAAAGTACGAAGACCCTTAGCGAAATGTTGTGTTCGTCTTTTTTACCCTTTAATATTAGATTTCACATTAGACAAAATAGTAATTTAATTATTTTGCTAATATTTAAGAATTCTAAATCAACTTAATTTTGTGCGCACTATTCCCTAATATTTAGGAGTTCCAAATCAACTAAAATTTTATATACTAAATATTCCTTGTTTGAACTTCTATGTGACGAGGCCTAACGTACTAAAGGTTATATACTAAATATTACTTGTATGCTATAAGCATGAAAAAAACTGAACAAAACATTTCCTTTTTCTTAGAAAAAGAAAATTTTACGGCTTAGAATAGGTAGTGGATTGTTGTTGGCCAATGAAAGTATCATTTTTATGTCCTAATTTTAGTATAAAAGTATTCAAAGTACTTTCAATAATCTTTTCTCTCTATATTTATTTTTACCAAGGTAAGAAAAAAGAGCTCAAACAATTAATATTTTTTAATTACAATTAGTGCAAAAAAAGTTTAAGCAAATTTGTAATTATAGATAATATTTTAGAACATTATTTTATGTATGTTTCATTATGACTAAGCATGAAAACCTAATCAAAATTAATGGTATAACACTAGAGAAGTAAATGAATTTTAGTGGATATTATTTTCTAATTTCTCATGTTATTCAATAAGAATAAACGTTATACCTACTTTTGAAATTCTAATTACAATTAAATTCTAGCTTTCTAGATATTTTCTTTGTATAATCTTTGAAAAGTACACTGATCAATAATAAAATAAATTGCTAAAAAGATATTTACTAATATAAAAGATCTATCAACTCATAAATTTAAAAGTGCAATATTAGATTAATTTTTTAAAACTCTGAATGAGTTAATATATGAAGAACTTGAATGAATAAAAAACAATTTTAAAAATAAATAATTAAGTCTTTGAATTACTAATTATCGAAAGAATTCAATTTAATTTTTTTTAATTCATCATATAAGTAAATTAGTTTTCAAATTAACCAAAATCTTAGGATACATAAATTTATATCCATAAAAAGAGTATTAGCGATGGAAACAAATGAACAAAATTAGTTAAAATTAGAATTATGAATCAAATTAGTAAAAATACAAACTTAAAATAATAAGGATGAAATAATGGAAGACAAAATATATTCTAAATAAGTTGTCATAAATTATTATTATTATTATTATTATTATTATTATTATTATTATTATTATTATTATTATTATTATTATTATTATTATTATTATTATTATTATTATTCCAAAAATGGCAACCTTTACAATTTCTATATATCAAGTTAATAGTTGTAAAATAGTAACTCAACATCAGTTATTTTTAGATTTTATATTGTCACTTATTAGTTTTTTTTATGAGCAATAAAACCAACCTCATCATTTCTAAAGACCGAAAGATTCAATTTTTCAAATTATTTTAGTTATCTTCGTTAACAAAAGTATTTTATGTTATTTGTTTGTTTTCAGTATTAGACTATAGAAATGACATTAATTTTCGTAAGATATTCCCATATAAATTCATAGAAATCACAATAAGGTATATGAGGATTTCTATTGGCAAGATTCCTTCCTTTATTGAGCTAATAAAATGGAATCACCGGTCATCATTTTTCAAGAACTTGCATTTTTCTTTAATTTTTATTTTATAAGTCAAACTCTTAGTTAATAATATTTATATTAATTTTTTAAATTATATATTCAATGATATAGACACACGCGCAAAGCGCGTACCCTAAGACTAGTCTTTTAAAATGCTAAAAAAGAAGAGTAACATTTTTTTTTAATTATGATTACCTACGAGCTAGAAAAGCTAGAACCAAATCTTGGTGTCAATGGAACAGACGATGGCATAATCAAGTGCGTATTTAGTTTACAAGTGAACTCGTTACTTGGGTTCTACTTAAAAACCATATATATGTGTTAAATAATTAGTACTAAATATGTACAAATAATATATTTTAGACGTCAAATCATGAAGTGCTGCATTTTACTTTTAAATAATATATATCACTTCCAGAAAATACAGTTAAGAAGCAAATTTCAATCACAATGCTGATTTCTGCAGATGAATCAACTATCTGATGTGAAGCCAAATGCTCTTGGATGGGTAGTTGAATAGGGGGATAAATCCTTTTTTTTCCTTTATATTGAATGTTGGTTAACTGCTCTTTCTACCGAAACGATGTCTATATAATTACATATACTATTGATGTGAATTACAAACTTCAGTCATAGTAACCCTCAGGCATAGTTGCAGGGAAGGCAACGCAACAGCTCACATTTTGGCAAAAGAAGGATCAAGGTAGCCTATCATGAATAATCTAGTTTGCTATCATAAACCTCCCATTTTTGTGAGTCCAGGATTCTGGGGGATAAAAATGGTGATGTAATAGTTCGCAACATGTCTCTTGTTGTTTGTAACAAACTAGCAGCCCTAGGTAATATTGATGCTATGATAAGCATCACTGGAAACGCCACTATGGCTTATAATAACTTTATCCGTACTTAGTATTAAATAAATTCTCCAGCCTTTAAAAAAAAAAGAGGTTAGATTAAATTAACCCACATATATGCAGACTGACAAGTACTAACTACACCAATAATATATCCTATTATACTTTCATGCAATTAGGTTGGTCGATTATATGGCACTACTTAAATCGTTAATGCTTTCTATAATCGAAACATCGGTTTTAGATCTGGATCCGGACCCTCAGCCCCACTACTTTTTGGTTAGACCTCCTCAATGGACTAAATCACATAATTGGAAATAAATGGTAGAACAAATTTTGAAAAAGTAAAGTATCTGTATTGGGAAAAAACTGAATTTAAATATTGAAGATGACATGTCATGACACGTGGACCAGTCAAATAGTCAAAGCATGACAAACAGTTAGAAGACACGAGCAACAATAGATGCGGGAGAGAAGATTCTTAAAGGTACGAGCTATTATCCAGATGAAACGAGACTCGTACCTGTTCGAGCCATTTAAAGCTCGAAGATCAGAAGGAATTGAAGAATGAATCTGATAGCGTAAAAGAGTCCAAATTCAACATTAAATGTCAAATACGTTAGAGAATTTGTATTTAATAAGAATGATTGAGTAACGTTTCTTTGAATGTCATTTACTGCTCGTAATTGCCTCATTAAGACAAAGGTATTACACTTTCTCTTAGAATTGACTATAAAAGGAAAAAGTCACAACATCTGTAGGACACGAAATATCATTCCGATTATACGGAAATATACTCTTATTCATTGCTTCATTGTTGTTCACAAAATCTCTTATTTCTTGATTATCAGTAACCCGATTTCTCTATTAAATTCTAGTTTTAACCAAATATTCAGTTTTTTTGTTAAACAGTATCCACAACTCCTTTTAACTTAGAAAGGACCAGCCAACCTATTTAAATAAAATATTATTCAATTTATATATTCAAGAACTCGATTCCCGTTGGAATACATAATTAAGTGATCAGAAAAAAAAAAATCTTCGTAAATTAATCAACGTAATTAACTCTTACGTGAATCTGACCAATGAAAAAGTCAGATTAATTTAGCAGTGGAGAAAAGTGAACCGAATATATTCCAGCATATATATATAGTCCTTGGAGACTTCTGCTATAAATAGCTTAGCATCTAACCATTGTTAATCATCAACTGATCCTTCTCATTTAATGATGAAAATGAAGCTAAGCCACATTGTATTTGCAACTCTTTCACTTCTCGCTTTGTTACTGATCCCAAGAGTATTGGCCGCACAATGCGGTGAGCAAGCCGATGGTGCACTGTGCGCCTCTGGTTATTGCTGCAGCAACCATGGTTGGTGTGGAACCACCGGTGATTATTGTGATCCAGACAAGTGTCAAATCCAGTGTCCTTCACCGTCTCCTCCACCTCCTCCATCCACCCCAACCCCTTCCCCTCCTCCACCCACCCCAACCGCTCCTCTCCCTCCTACTCCATCCCAAGACATTACTGAAATCATTAGCAGTGATTTATTTGATGAGCTGCTTTTGCATCGGAACAATGTTGCTTGTCCTGCTAGGGGCTTCTATACCTACGATGCCTTTGTACAAGCTGCCAGGAATTTCATTGGTTTTGGCACCACTGGCGATATTACTGACCGTAAAAGAGAGGTTGCTGCGTTCTTGGCTCAAACATCGCATGAAACTACTGGTAATCTTTAGCAATTTAATTACGTGCTTATAATAATAATAATCCAGTTACTTATACTCAGCTTTTTGGCGAAATATATCACAAGTTATATACTCCTGATTAAAATGCCTATGTCCCTTTTGTTTAATTATTTTTTTTCCAGCCAACTAGTACTTGTGTTAAATTCCTAAGTTAAATGATATGTCCTTGGACAGGTGGTTGGGACACTGCACCTGATGGCCCTTATGCATGGGGTTACTGTTTCAAAAGCGAAGTAGGAAACCCTGATGACATGCCTTCCTATTGCGAACAAAACGTTGAGTGGCCCTGCGCTCCTGGCAAGAAATATTATGGACGAGGCCCCATCCAAATTTCATAGTATGTTCCCTTCTCTTTTTAATTTGCACATAAAGTAATACTCCTTCAGTTCAAAAAAGAGTAGCACTATTTTCTTCTTAGTCCATCCAAAAAGAATAGTAACTTTTTAAATTTGAAAATAATTTTAACTTAAACTAATTGCCATTTTATTGCCACACAAATATTATGATATATTAGGATCAAAGTTCCAAAAATTTCTTTCTTTGTTAAACTCCATGCTCACGCAAACTACGCATATAAATTAAAACAGAGTGAGGGCAGAGTGAGGGCATGTGCTTTGTAAATCTACTTGTCCTATGATTTAAGGAAAAAGATCAGAAATCTCTTGTTCTGAATAGATGAAAGAGAATCCAAATTTTGATAGTAGGAATTGTTGGGTTTTTAAGGTATTTAATTAATATATTAAATACTTAAAAGAGGGTGAATGGGAAATGGAGGGAAATGAAATTTTTGAGTGAAATTTTAAGTTCCCCCTCCCTTGGCAAATGGGCATTGTCCCATATTGGAAGAGGAAGAGGTTTTTTATGGGTATATAAGCAATTGCTCTTCTTCTAGCTCTTAAAGAGTTGAGAAGAAGGCAAGCCTCGCGCCATCGTCGTCGCTCGCTCGGCTCGGCTTCGGATTCGGATTTGGTCAAATAATCGATTGATTGATTAACTTTTTGGACCAAATTTATTTGTTAATAGTAAAATATTAACAGAAATGTTATTAAATATTTGTTTTAATAACAAAATATTAATATTAAATATTAATATTAAATCCAATTTATTTTCCCTCTTTATTATTGAGTAAATGGCCATTTATGTAATGGCATTTATGTTGTGGGCGTTTTGCATAAACAGCCATTCTTAAGAGACCCAACTTTGGCTATAAATACAACACTATTCTGCTCAGAATTTTAACTACAATTTTCTGAGTTTCCTCTCCTTCTTCTGCATACTTTTAGCATCAAAACAAAGCAAAAAGTAAGTGTGATTTGCTACCGAACTTTGTGTTCGCTGAAACACTGGGGTTTGAAGTACCACTACACCAGTGTGTAATTCGTTCTATCCTGGGAGGAAATAATCCATAACCTTGGGTACTAGGAGGGGATTAAATTCCTTAAGGAAACACTGTGAATTCAGTGGGCTCGAATTGGTTTATGTCATTTCTGTTTATATTCATTACTGTTTATATTCATTTATATTTCCAGAATTTATTTTACAAATACAGTGTAATAACAAGCTTAAGGAATTTAATAATTTATTTTCTGTATTTGTACTTACTGTTTCTGGAAGAGTAAAACCTTTGTGGTTTTGTACTCTATTAAAATCTACGTGATTTTAACGTTTGTGTCATTCTTTTACAGAAATGACTAATGAGAATGAGAACCAAGCGGTTCCAATGGTGACTGCCAATGCGTCAACAAGCCGAACGACACCGGCAGCATTGGCACCGGCGGAGAAACCCGAAAAATTTTCCGGGATTGATTTCAAGCGCTGGCAGCAAAAGATGTTCTTCTATCTGACTACTCTAAGTCTCCAGAAGTTCATCAAGGAAGATGTTCCTGTGTTGTCCGATGAAACTCCAGAAACTGAACGCTTTCTCGTAATTGAGAAGAAGTGATAGGGGTGGTGAATATGAATCTCCTTTTGAACAAATATGTTTAGAATATGGAATTATTCATCAAACAACGGCCCCTTACACGCCCCAATCCAATGGGATTGCAGAAAGAAAGAATCGTTCATTAAAGGAGATGATGAACGCATTATTGATAAGTTCTGGTTTGCCACAGAACTTGTGGGGGGAAGCCATTCTTACGGCTAGCCGAATACTAAATCGAGTACCCCATAGCAAAACACAATCCATTCCATATGAAAAATGGAAAGGAAGGAAGCCCAACTTGAATTATTTTAAAGTGTGGGGGTGTTTGGCAAAAGTGCAAGTTCCTAAACCCAAAAGGGTAAAAATAGGACCGAAAACCGTTGATTGTGTTTTCATAGGATATGCAACTAATAGTAAAGCATATCGATTTCTGGTTCATAAATCAGAAAATCCCGACATTCATAATAATACGGTTATAGAATCAGATAATGCTGAGTTCTTTGAAAATATATATCCGTATAAAAAGGAATGTGAGTCGATTGGTGAAGGATCTAAACGACCTCGGGAAGAAACAAAAGAAAGTACACTTAACCAAGAGGATCCAAGACGTAGTAAACGTCAAAGAACGTCTACTTCATTTGGACCAGATTTTGTGACTTTCTTATTGGAAAATGAGCCTCAAACATTTAAAGAAGCTATGTCTTCTTCGGAATCATTGTTATGGAAAGAGGCGGTCAATAGTGAAATAGAATCCATACTGAACAACCATACATGGGAATTGGTTGATCTTCCTCCTGGAAATAAACCGTTGGGTTCTAAATGGATCTTTAAGAGGAAAATGAAAGATGATGGCACTATTGACAAGTATAAGGCAAGACTTGTGGTCAAAGGGTATAGACAACGAGAAGGTCTTGACTATTTTGATACATACTCTCCAGTTACAAGAATTACATCCATACGAACGTTAGTAGCGTTAGCTGCAGTTTATGGTCTTGAAATTCATCAAATGGATGTTAAGACGGCCTTCTTAAATGGAGAGTTGGAGGAAGAAATTTACATGGAACAACCTGAAGGGTTTGTGGTTCCAGGTAAAGAAAAGAAGGTCTGTAGACTTGTTAAGTCCCTTTACGGATTAAAACAAGCACCCAAACAATGGCATGCTAAATTTGACCAAACAATGTTGTCAAATGGATTTAAGATAAATGAATGTGATAAATGTGTGTACATTAAAAATGTTCCAAATCACATAGTCATTGTTTGCTTATATGTGGATGATATGCTCATAATGAGTAATGACATTGCCAACATAAATGCTACTAAGCGTATGCTAACTAGCAAGTTTGATATGAAAGACTTGGGAGTTGCTGATTTAATTCTGGGAATTAAGATCCATAAGACTTCTCAAGGTCTAGCATTGTCACAATCTCATTATATTAAGACAGTACTTGAAAAATTCAAGCACTTGGGCTTTAAAGTTGCAAAGACTCCAATTGATGTGAATCTTGCATTAGCAAAGAACAAAGGCCAGAGCATATCACAATTGGATTATGCTCGTGTGTTGGGTTGCTTAATGTACATCATGAATTGTACACGACCAGATATAGCTTGTGCTATAAGTAAATTGAGTCGATATACGAGCAATCCAGGCCAATCTCATTGGATGGCCATGAAACGAGTTTTGGGGTATTTAGTACATACCCAGGACTTTGCTTTGCACTACAATAAATATCCTGCGGTCATTGAGGGATACTGTGATGCAAATTGGATCACCGGATCAACTGATTCCAAGTCCACAAGTGGATATGTATTCACTATTGGTGGAGGAGCGGTATCTTGGAAGTCATCCAAACAAACTTGTATTGCCCGCTCTACAATGGAGGCTGAGTTCATAGCCTTGGATAAAGCCGGTGAAGAAGCTGAATGGCTCCGGAATTTCTTGGAAGATATTCCATTTTGGCCCAAACCGTTGGCACCAATATGCATACATTGTGATAGTCAAGCGGCAATTGGAAGGGCTGGGAGCGTTATGTATAACGGTAAGTCTCGCCATATACGACGAAGACATAAAACCGTTAGACAATTACTCTCTAGAGGAATTATCACGATTGACTATGTAAAGTCAAGTGATAATGTGTCGGATCCACTTACAAAAGGCCTAACTAGAGAGGTAGTTGAGAAGTCATCAAAGGGAATGGGACTGTGGCCGAGAACAAGTCATAGTGGCGGTAACTCTACCTAGAAGACTGGAGATCCCAAGATCTAGGTTCAAGGAGATCAAACAAAGTCATTTATGACGGTTCAACATTGTCAACTAAACTTTTGGTCCATTCTCGTGATGAGACAATGTTCAGTACCAAGGATAAAGCATTAAGGCTTTTTAATGATTTCTAAATTTGATACAGGGTATATCAAATAGTGTATCTACGGGATGACACGTTTAGGAATCACCTATGTATGTGTGAAGTGTTAGCCGCTTCAAGGAGAACACAGCAAGGCCAGTTCTCTACGCACTTATGAAACCAGGCAGTGTTCATGGCTGAAACGAACACAACAATGAGAACCAAAGACGGTTAAGGGTTGGTTGTGTGACTTGTGGTTCTCTAGGTATACACTAAAGTTCGACGGTTCAAAGATATCAAATCTACCGATTGATCGAGTATATCCGACATAAGTTCACTACGGAAAGTTCAAAGGGAAACCTACTTATCCAGATGCAATTAATCCTTACTTGTGAATCACACAGTTTTTCATGCATACTTCCGTGATATAGCCATTCCCCATTCATGTGGGGGATTGTTGGGTTTTTAAGGTATTTAATTAATATATTAAATACTTAAAAGAGGGTGAATGGGAAATGGAGGGAAATGAAATTTTTGAGTGAAATTTTAAGTTCCCCCTCCCTTGGCAAATGGGCATTGTCCCATATTGGAAGAGGAAGAGGTTTTTTATGGGTATATAAGCAATTGCTCTTTTTCTAGCTCTTAAAGAGTTGAGAAGAAGGCAAGCCTCGCGCCGTCGTCGTCGCTCGCTCGCTCGGCTCGGCTTCGGCTACGGCTACGGCTTCGGATTCGGATTCGGATTCGGATTCGGATTTGGATTTGGATTTGGATTTGGTCAAATGATCGATTGATTGATTAACTTTTTGGACCAAATTTATTTGTTAATAGTAAAATATTAACAGAAATGTTATTAAATATTTGTTTTAATAACAAAATATTAATATTAAATCCAATCCGTTTTTCTGTTTTGGTAACAGAAAAGTAACTACCCTCTTCAATTTTCCCTCTTTATTTTCCCTCTTTATTATTGAGTAAATGGCCATTAATGTAATGGCATTTATGTTGTGGGCGTTTTGCATAAACATCCATTCTGAAGAGACCCAACTTTGGCTATAAATACAACACTATTCTGCTCAGAATTTTAACTACAATTTTCTGAGTTTCCTCTCCTTCTTCTGCATACTTTTAGCATCAAAACAAAGCAAAAAGTAAGTGTGATTTGCTACCGAACTTTGTGTTCGCTAAAACACTGGGGTTTGAAGTACCACTACACCAGTGTGTAGTTCGTTCTATCCTGGGAGGAAATAATCCATAACCTTGGGTACTAGGAGGGGATTAAATTCCTTAAGGAAACACTGTGAATTCAGTGGGCTCGAATTGGTTTATGTCATTTCTGTTTATATTCATTACTGTTTATATTCATTTATATTTCCAGAATTTATTTTACAAATACAGTGTAATAACAGGAATAACATATAAGGTTATACCAGCAACTTTGCTTATTCCTTTTAACCATATTTCAGCAACTACAATTATGGACCTTGTGGAGTTGCCATAGGAGAAAACCTCCTAGGTGATCCTGATTTGGTGGCTGCAGACACAGTAATCTCATTCGAAACTGCACTTTGGTTCTGGATGACTCCTCAACCACCAAAGCCTTCGAGCCACGACGTCATCCTCGGGATATGGGAACCAACCCCATCCGATATAGCAGCCAATAGGCTCCCTGGTTATGGGGTTATCACGAACATCATCAACGGAGGATTGGAATGCGGTCATGGCCCTGACAAGAGGGTAGAGAGTCGAATTGGCTTTTACTTAAGGTACTGCCAAATTCTTGATGTTAGCCCTGGCGAAAACCTTGACTGCGGCGACCAGAGGTCTTTTGCCGACGGAATCTTGTTCAACTCTGTGTAGAATAAAGCTACTACTCTTGTACTAGTTCTTCTAATTGCTCGTGTTAATCCATTAAGTGGATGCTTGCAATCTGACAATTGTGAGCATGTCTTGACGCCATATAATAAAGAAGCGAGATTTCAAATATCCTCTATGTAGTAGAATCAATTACTCAAATGGTTACTCAACTATCCCAAATTATCTCCCAAAGTCACTTTTCTTTCGTTTGTAACAACAAAGTCACTCAGAAGGTCACTCAACTTGATTTTTCAAATTTTGGATTGCCAAATACCTATTTTACCCTCTAAGTTATAAACATTTACTCCCTCTGTTCCGGTTTATGTGAACCTATTTCCTTTTTGGTCCGTTCTAAAAAGAGTAAACCCTTTCTAAATTTGGAAACAATTTAGCTTAAACTTACAATTCTACCCTTAATGAGAAGGGTTTATAACCACACAAATACTCTGGACCCTTTTTGACTTGTTTAAGACCACAAATTCCAATAGTCTTCATTTTTTCTTAAACTCCGTGCCCAGTCAAACAGGTTCACATAAATTGGAACGGAGGGAGTATCTTTTTTTTTTTTTTAAAAACTTTTTAATATTATGATTTTTTCCGTTTTAATTTATATTATGGACTTACCTATAGAATAAATAAATATTATTTATATATATAAAAAAATAAAAGTATTTAAGCATATATAATGCTGGAATAACAAAATAATGAGCATAGTAAAAATATTAATTAGAATAATTTGTTCGTAATAATAATTTTACTATTAACAATAAAAATTCGAAAATTTAATTACACAATTCAGAATGAAAGAAAATAAAGGTAGTAAAATATATATTCCATGCACACGTAATATTAAATAATTATTTAAATAAAGGTATTTTTATAATATACATTATATATTATTAGGTTTCTACCAACTTTTCGACGACACAAAGTTATGTCACCGGAAAGCATGGGGACTATCTGTATAGGGTAAAATATGTTATGTTAAGTCGTGCCTGGAATATGTATAATATAATTGAGCATAATTTTCAAGAATATATAATTTATATTATAAAAAGACCTTTACTGAAATAATTATTTTTATATTACGTGCATGGAATATATATTTTACAACCTTTATTTTCTTTCATTTTGAATTGTGCAAATAAATTTTTTAATTTTTGTTGTTAATATTAAAATTATTATTACTAACAAATTATTCTAATTAATTTTTTCACTATGCTCATTATTTTGTTATTTCAGCATTATATATGCTTAAATACTTTTTATTTTTTTAATATATAAATAATATTTATTTATTTTATACGTAAGTCCACAATATAAATTAAAAAGGAAAAAAATTATAATATTAAAAAGTTTAAAAAAAATAAAAAAAGATAAATGTTTATAATTTAGAGGGTAAAATAGGTAGGCAATCGAAATTTTGGAAAATCTAATTGAGTGACCTTCTGAGTGCAATAAACATAGTTCAGTGACTTTGTTGTTACAAACGAAAGAAAAGTGACTTTAGGAGATAATTTGTGATACTTGAGTGATCATTTGAGTAATGGACTCTTATATAGTATGAGTCTTAACTAATCATTAATTGGCTTGATGATAAATTTAACTGCATTCCTCTAGACGACATATAAAATGGTTATTATATTTCACCTCATTTAAGGAAAACAGGGGAAGAAAATAGAGCATAATATACCTTTTCTGAGCTGATCTCGTACAAAATCCTGAAAGTTTCGTGGTGACTCGAGAGCAGTTAGTCCTGATAATGTTTTACGGTCAGAGTGCAAACGTAAGTACGTAACGTTAGAAGGCTACTAAGTCAAGGGTACAGAGATGACATTATCCTTTTTCCATTCCAAACACAAAACTAAATATAGAACTAAGTAGTGCAATTTTGAAACTTGAAACGAGAGATCTCATGGTTTGAAGTAGCAGATTCTGCTTACATCCAACAAATTATAAACTTATCACAAAGGAAACATAAAGAAGGATTGGCTAAGGATATATACAGAGCTACAAATTCTAAATGAGTAATAGCTCAACCGTGGGCAGAGCTTATCTCTCCTCTTTCTCTACAAACGGATAAAGAAGGTAAGAAGAAAAGTGTGATCGAGTACTAATTAAGTACTCCTTCGCTTTCAAAAAGATTAGCATTATTTCGTTATTAGTCAATTTTAAAAAGATTTGCACCTTTCAATATTTTTTTAATAGAAAGCATTTATAGTCATACAAATGTTATGGCGGGTCTAATGACCACAAGTTTCAAAAGTTTTACAGCCACACATATGCTATGACGTATGTAAGAACAAATATCTCAAAAGTCTTTGCTTCTTCATCATTAAAGTTTATACTAAGTCAAACTGGAACAATCATTTTTGAAACGGAGGGAGTATAATAGCATATATTATATTTCTACCAGCTACCAAGCCAGAAGATTAAAAGTGAGCCTATGGTAGCCTACAATATGATTTACACTCGTGAGTCGTGATTATATATTTTCTTAGCCGAAAAGGAACGGAAACTAAATATTCCCTCTGTCCAAATTTTGACTACGTTGGTAGTTATTGCGATGGGGAATCTATATGATAGCAGGATTGGGGGGAAAAACAAAAATAAGTAGTTTACTATTGCAAGTTGCCTTTATAGACAAACATCAATATGCCTCTATTGTTATATGTAGAGTTGGTGGAAATAAACAACTGTTATATGGTAGCAGAAGTTGTTGCAAGTGGTCTTAGAATAACAAAGAAATTGCTGAATTTTTCTCAAACAACCTTTCTAAAATAAAATAAAAAACTGTTATAAAGAGGTGTAAAACAAAGTTGAGAGTCAAGAGAAGGAAATTAGCATCATGGCTAGTTTTGATATTCCAACAATTGATGTTTCTCCATTTTTGATATCAGAGGAAGATGAAGATGGGAAAAAGAAGGTTATGGAGCGAATAAGGGAAGCCTGTGTTAAATATGGCTTTTTCCAGATTGAGAATCATGGAATTCCTTTGGAGTTGCTGACCAGAACCATGGATTTGTACAAGACCTTCTTTGCTTGTTCAGATGAAGATAAATTATTGGTATCTCCAAAATCCGGTTCATCAATACCAGCTGGTTATTTGAAAAGCCCACAAAATTCAGCGGAGAAGAATGAGCACTTCGTGTTTCTTCCTTCATCCTCTGGCTTCAATGTCTATCCCAACAATCCACCTCATTTCAAGTATGTCTTCATATTCCCTTCCTCATATCTCCAATTTATACAATTCCAAGTTCCGAATGAATGATTTACACATAGTTCAGATGTTTTAATGTAACAAAAACAATTAGTTTTATATCTTTATTCTGATAGTGAATAAAGCTCAATTATTTCAATATGACAAAAAGTAATATTTTGACTTTACTAATATAGTAGGTAAAATTCAGTGACCGTGTATAAGAATTAGTCAAAATTAATGTTTAGCTCTTAAGGAGCATTATTTCCTCTTCGTGAAATATTTTTTATTATCCGTAGACAAGTTTTGGAGGAGATGTTTTCTCATTTCACAAAATTAGGAATGCTGTTGGAGAGCATCATAAGTGAGTGTTTGGGCCTCCCTCCTAACACCCTTGCAAAATTCAACGATGATCGGTCATGGGATTTCTTGATTGGTCTCCATTATTTTCCAGCGACAGAAGCTGAAGACAATGGGAAATCTGCACATGAAGATGGCAATTGCATTACTTTTGTGTATCAGGATGAAGTTGGAGGCTTTCAAGTGCACAAAGATGGGCAGTGGATCCCAATAGCACCTTCCAAAGACAAACTAGTTGTTAACATTGGTGATATTATTCAGGTAATTCGGTTAGTTTTTAACCCAAATAAAATGGCTAATTTCACGAATATTCATTTAATATTTTAATTTACAGCATTAAAGTCATAAAATTGAATTATTTAAATTCTGTAACGAAAAGATAACTCAACGAAACCTATATATCAAAGAAAATACTGACCTTGATACCCAAAAACGCAAGTGTTTGGTGCCATATGGATATATTGGCATGTAATTATAAGCATAGGTGCGTTAGCAAATGATCTTATATAAAAAATTATAATTCATTTTCTGATCAATTTTCTTTTTAAATAAACAACTCATGATGTGGTATATGGTATAAAGGTGTTAAGCAACAACAAATTCAAGAGTGCAACTCATAGAGTGGTGAGACCGAAGGGGAAAAGCCGTTACTCGTATGCATTCTTCTATAACTTGCAGGGAGACAAATGGGTTGAGCCATTACCACAGTTTACAGAGGAAATTGGAGAATCGCCCAACTACAGAGGATTCCTCTTCAAAGAATATGCGCAGCTGAGAGTCAAAAACAGGACTCATCCACCAACTAGACCTGAAGATCTCATCCATATAACCCACTATTCAATTTCTAATTAGACGGGAATTAATTCTATGTGATCAAAGGCTTTCCTCTATGTCGAAGGAAACATGGAAATAATATGTATTACTTCACTCAGAATTAATGTGGAGACAATTTATTTGATTATTATCTCTTCAATCAGCTATCCCATTTCACTTGTTTCCTGCAGAACCTCTTCTTTCATAGATTACTGGATTAAATTGTTCCGAACAATATCATACATGAAAGAGAACTGCGATACCATTTTGAGATCGTTTAATCTGTCGATATTTCAACATAAGAAACATGGTAAGCACTGTTAATTTAAAAGGCTCAATTTACAAGCTATGTGTCTTGATCGCTGTTCCGTTTAATTTAAAACTACTCAAATTGTATATACTGTTGGGAAAACAAATATTCCCGCCCAGGAATAATATCCACGATAAATAACAATAACACAAGAGAGTAACAACGACACCAAATCTTTTAACGGGGTAAAATACAATATCCGAGTGGAGCAATATTATCACTATAACATTACAACTTAGTAGTGTCAAGAGAGACTACTACAACTTCAAAAGAGATAACACTCTTTATTTTAGATACCCCACTACAATATTACTCGCACTCACTATTTATCTCACAGACTACAATCTGTGGATTACTCTCAGCTTTCTACTTCTCTCTCGTTTTTGGTGTACTTTAAATGAAACCGAATGACTCTATTTATAAGCAAAAGGAGCCGTCCAACTGAGCCAATCAAATTCATTCGTTGCAATTTGCAGATTTGAAAATTGCCATCTTGTTATCGTCCATATCAACTTTTTGCATTGCAACTTGTTGCCAACTTTTGTTTTGCTTTTTCTTTTATTTATTTTTAAATGGGTCCCACAAATCTCTCCCTTAATTTTGATTTTTCTTCTTCATTCCAAGTCTAGATCTCAGTCTCTAGAAGTCATCAAACTTGAGAGGCTTTGTAAAGATATCCGCAACTTGATCATGAGACTTTACATATTTCAACTTGACTTCCTTCTTGGCAATACATTCTCTGATAAAGTGATACCTTGTATCTATATGCTTGTTTCGATCATGATACACTGGATTTTTCGCGAGTGCTTGTGCGGATTTGTTGTCAATACAAATCTCTGTAGCTTCAATTTGTGGCAAATTGAGCTCCTTCAATAATCTTCTCAGCCATATAGCATGACACGTACAAGATGTTGCTGCTATATATTCAGCTTCACAAGTTGAGAGAGTAACAATTAATTGTTTCTTTGAACTCCAAGAAATAACAGAATCACCCAAGAAAAATACAAAACCAGTTGTGCTTTTTCTATCATCAATATCTCCCGCATATTCACTATCACAATATCCCATAAGGTTGAAATCACTAGAAGAAGAATAAAATAACCCAAAGTCAATCGTACATTTTAGGTAACGAAGAATTCTTCTAGTGACTTTCAAATGAGTGGAGGTAGGAGCTTCCATGAAGCGGCTTACTACTCCAATTGCAAAGAGTATATCTGGCCTGATACAAGTCAAGTACCTCAAACTTCCCACAAGACTTTTGAAAAATGTGGGATCCACCTTTTCTCCTTTATCAAACTTGTATAATTTTGTCTCACTCTCCATCAGTGTGTTCATGGGGTTGCAATCGAGCATGTTGAACTTCTTCAATATCTCTTTTGTACATCTTTCTTGAGAGATGAAAATTCCATCCTTCATTTGCTTCACTTCTAGGCCTAGGTAATATGACATGAGCCCTACGTCTGTCATCTCGAACTCACGGGACATATCTTTCTTAAAAGCTTCAAACAAACTTGGGTTATTGCCCGTGAAAATAAGATCATCAACATAAAGACAAACAAGTAAGATATCTCCATTAGTATGAACTTTAAGGTAAAGAGCATATTCATGGAGACAACGAGTAAACCCATTGTCTTGAAAATATTTGTCGATGCAACTATTCCATGCTCGTGGGGCTTGCTTTAATCCATATAAAGCTTTCTTCAACAACAACACTTTATCTTCATGGTTTTTGACCACGAAGCCCAATGGTTGTTCAACATAGACTTCTTCTTCAAGATAGCCATTCAAGAAGGATGACTTGACATCTAGTTGATAGATCTTCCACTTCATTTGCGCCGCCAAAGAGATCAGCAAACGAATCGTCTCCATGCGAGCAACAGGTGCATAGACTTCTTCATAATCAATGCCTTTCCTTTGCTTGTAGCCTTTAGCCACAAGTCGTGCCTTATATTTCTCCACATCTCCATCAGCATTCTTCTTTATTTTGTATACCCATTTCACTCCAATTGCTCGATGACCCTTGGGAAGAGTTGTTAACTCCCAAATGTTGTTATTTTCTATTGACTCAATCTCCTCCTCCATGGCTTGTCTCCACTTTTTGTTTGTAACAGCTTCATCAAAGTTCATTGGTTCACTGTCAGCAAAGAGACAACATAAAAAATCAAAATTAGTAACTTCTTCTGTGTCCTCATAGAGCTCTTGAATACTCCTTGTCCTTTGCGGCTGTTCATTTGAACTTTCTTGAGAAGAGGGAGATGCAACATTGGTTGGAGAAGGAGGTGGAGTTGTATCCTGCACAGGTTCCACGGTCTCTGGTTCTTCTTCATCACCAAAGTATGGAAGAAAATCATATGAAGCTTCGTCTTGAGCTTCCCAATCCCATGCCAATTCTTCATCAAATTCAACATCGCGACTTACCACCACCTTGCCACTACTTGGGTTGTATAATTTGTAGCATTTGAACTCGTATCATAGCCAACAAATACATGCTTGACACTTCGACCGTTAAGCTTTGCTCTCCCTTGATGTGGCATATGAGCATATGCTATGCTCCCAAAGACTCTCAAGTGCTTGACACTTGGCTTTCTTCCACTCCATACTTCTTGAGGGGTTTGATCTCTAACATTCCTTGTTGGAGACCTGTTGTTCAAATAAACTGCACAAGGAACAGCTTCGGCCCAAAATTCCTTGGGCATACTTTTAGCTTTCAACATACATCTAGCCATATTAAGAATTGTTCGATTTTTTCTCTCTGTAACTCCATTTTGTTGGGGTGAATAAGGTACCGTTAGAGGGCGACGAATTCCATGAGATTAACATAAGTCATTAAATTCTTTTGAAGTGAATTCGCCGCCTCTATCGGACGTTAAAACTTTAATTTCATAGCAATTTCTTTCTCCACAAGTACTTTGAAATTTTTAAAAGCACCAAAAGCTTCAGATTTTTGGTTCAAGAAATAAACCCAAGTCTTTCTACTAAAGTCATCAATGAAGAGCAGAAAGTATTTACTTTTATCAAAAGAAGGTGGATTGATTGGTCCACATACATCAGTAAGCTAAAGCGGTTTGGTTGATCTTGACATGGCCTCCTTTGGAAAACTCCTCCTTGCATGTTTTCCAAGAAGACAAGCTTCACACAATTGATTGGGATAACTGATTGATGGCATCCCATGCACCATGTTCTTTTCTCCCATTGCTTTGAGCGCTTCAAAATTCAAGTGCCCAAATCGCATGTGCCAACACCATGATTCATCTTGCACATTAGCCTTCAAACACTTTGCATCAATTGTTTTAAGATTCAGAAAAAATAATCTATTCTTTGCCATATGCACTTTAGCAATTAATTCCACTTGAATCTCTAAGCCAAAGATGCATATTTTTCATGTGGATGTCATATTCCTTTTCAAGAAGTTGGCCCAAACTCAAAATATTACTTTTTAATTCTGGCACATAATAAACATCTTGAATTAGCTTGTGACTACCATCTTTACAGGAGATCAGAATCATACCTATCCCTTCGATTTGAATCTTTGAGGTATCTCCAAAGGACACATTACCTCTCACTGTTTTATTGATCTCCACAATCTTTTCTTTGCATCCACACATATGATTGCTTGCTCCATTGTCCAAATACCATGAGCTGCAATCATCCCTGTCTTCTTCCTTGAGTGCCAGCAATAACGTTGACTCATCTTCTTCTTTCTTGTTGCAACAAGGTTAGCTTTCTCTTCAACATTGCTACGACATTCCCAAGAGTAATGGCCATATTTATGACAATTATAGCACTCAAGTTTTGATTTGTCATACCTTTGTCTATTATTTTCTTGATAGTAGCCACGTCCTCTTCATCCTCTATGTCAACGACCACGACCTCTGAATGTTTGGTGGATTTTAGCTTCATTGTTGAAGTTGTTACCGTTACTTCTTCCTCGTCCACGACCGCCACGGCCTCGTCCCCGTCCATTCCCTCGATAGCTCTTTTCACCTCCATAATCCTTGAAGGATGCCTGAGTTTTAAGAAGTTGCTCCAGTGGCACTTCCTGTCTCCTTTTGATCTTTTCTTCATGGGCTTGTAAAGAACCCTCCAATTGCTCCACCATCATAGAGTCTAAATCTTTAGACTCCTCAATGGCACACACCACAAAATCAAATTTAGGTGTTAAAGTGCGAAGGATCTTTTCTACCACACGGACATCTTCTATGTCCTCCCCGTATCTTTTTAATTGATTCACAACAGCCTTCACTTTTGAACAATAATCCGAAATGCATTAGGATTCTTTTATTTTTAAAACTTCAAAATCAGCCCTTAGAGTTTGAAGTTTTACCTTCCTCACTTTGTCAACTCCTTGAAGAGACTTTTGTAAAATCTCCCAAGCTTCCTTTAAGGTGGTAGCATTTGCCACTTTCTCAAACATGGCATCATCCAAACATTGGTGGATGAGCGTGAGGGCTTGTTGATCCTTCTTCCTTGTCTTTGCCAAGACATCTTTTTCATTTTGAGGCAGAGCTTCCTCATTATCGGGTTTTGCATACCCTCTATCTACGATTTCCCGCACCTCCTGGGAGCCAAGAATAGCTTTCATACGTAGACACCATTTCTCATAATTATCTTTTGTGAGACGGGAGTACTGAAAAGACAACGAACCATTACTCGCCATGGCTCTGATACCACGTTGTTGGGAAAACAAATATTCCCGCCCAGGAATAATATCCACGATAAATAACAATAACACAAGAGAGTAACAAAGACACCAAATCTTTTAACGGGGTAAAAAGACAATACCCGAGTGGAGCAATATTACTACTATAACATTACAACTTAGTAGTGTCAAGAGACTACTACAACTTCGAAAGAAATAACACTCTTTATTTTAGATATCTCACTACAAGATTACTTACACTCACTATTTATCTCACAGACTACAATATGTGGATTACTCTCATCTTTCTGCTTCTCTCTCGTTTTTGGTGTACTTGAAATGAAACCGGATGACCCTATTTATAAGCAAAGGAGCCGTCCAACTGAGCCAATCAAATTCATTCGTTGCAATTTGCAAATTGCCATCTTGTTATCGTCCATATCAACTTGTTGCATTGCAACTTGTTGCCAACTTTTGTTTTGCTTTTTCTTTTATTTATTTTTAAATGGGTCCCACATATACTGCAACCTTGTTCATTTCTTTCTTTTTCTTTTTTCGAATAATGTCAAGTACTCCTTATATTGTTAACTAATATATTCGTTTTGTAAGACAAACGTTAGCACATTATTGGATCTTTTCGGATTACTATGTGCCTAGAACTTTGTTTACTATGCATATAATACAGATTTGAGTATAAAACAAAGTTGTAGGATCAACTTTTATTTATGATGGATCAGCTGTCGAGATGCTGAATATTTATGTGGGGCAGAAACGATTAAGGGCAGTATTTAGTTTTGTGTCACATTTCACCATTTTATTTGAGTAAATAATTACATTACTTTATTATTTTTAAGTATGGAATACAAATCCATCCCCTTGTAGGGCATGAAAAGCTAAAATTGGTTAAACAGAATGAAACTTGGCTAAAACGTCATGGCTAGTTTTGATATTCCAACAATTGATGTTTCTCTATTATTGAAAGAGGAAGATGAATATGGGAAAAAGAAGGTTACGGAGCGAATAAAGGAAGCCTGTATTCAATATGGTTTCTTCCAGATTGAGAATCATGGAATTCCTTTGGAGATGTTGAGCAGAACAATGGATATGTACAAGATCTTCTTTGCTTGTTCAGACGAAGAGAAACTCTTGGTCTCTCCCAAGCCTGGGGGAACTGTACCACCTGCTGGTTATTTGAAAATTCCACAACATTCAGACGAGAAGAATGAGCACTTATTGATTCTTAATGCATCCTCTTGCGTCAATGTCTACCCCAAAAATCCACCTTAATTCAAGTACGTCTTCATATTATCTTAGGAGTGGCAAACAGGCGGGTCGGTTCGGATATGGTTCGGGTCGAAATGGGTAATGAAAAATTGGATCAATTATCCAACCCGATCCATATTTAATACGGATAAAAAATGGGTTAACCGGCGGATAATATGGGTTACCCATATTATCCATGACTTCTTGTATATGATAATTTTTGGGAGAATTCTTAGTCTCCCTGATAGAATCTAGGCTTGCGTGAACAATTAAATCCTAGTTTCCAGAGAATTCAAAGAATGAAGAAGGGAGGAAGAAAGAAGAAGTTGATTTCTGATTTCTTATTATCACTATACATTCCAAAAAATGCAGTATTTAACTATCTTCTAACAGCTTAACTAATCACTCACGTGTAAGTCACATGTGTTAGTGTGCATTGTCTAAAATGCCCTTCTTACATCTTATCTTTTAACTCTCAATACTCCCCCTCAACTGGAGGGTGGAATATGTCTAACACGCCAAGCTTGGATACTAAGAAACAATGTTGTGCAGCAGTCAACCCCTTTGTTAGGAGATCAACTAACTGCAAAGAAGAAGAAACAAAGCATGGATGTATAAGCCCTGCTTTGATCTTCTCTCTTACAAAGTGATAGTCTATCTCGATATGCTTTGTTCTCTCATGAAATATTGGATTTCCAGCTATTTGAATGGCTGCCTTGTTGTCACAGAACAGAGAAACAGGTTTAGACACTTTGATCCCCAAGTCTTCTAACATTCCTGTCAACCATGTGATTTCTGCAGTTGCGGCTGCCATGCTTCTGTATTCAGCTTCTGCTGAACTCCTGCTCACTGTAGGTTGTTTCTTTGATTTCCATGAAATCAAGGAATTGCCTAGTTTCACGACATAACCTATCACAGACCTCTTTGTGTTGAGGCATGATGCCCAATCTGAATCACAGTATGCACTAAGTTGATCAATGGCTCCTGCTTCCATCAATAACCCCATTCCTGGTGCTCCCTTGATGTATCTCACCACTCTCAATGCTGCCTCCATGTGTGATTGTTTGAGATTTTGAATAAATTGACTCAAAGTTTGTACGGCAAAGCTTATGTCAGGCCTAGTGATAGTTAAGTATAGCAACCTTCCTATCAATCTTTGATAAGCTGATTTGTCTTCTAACTCTGAATCTCCTGTCTTCCCAATGCATGTGTCATATTCCACTGTTGTCAATTTTTGATTTAAATCTATAGGAGTTGTAATTGGCTTTGCACCACTCAAACCTGTCTCCGAGATTAATTCCAAAGCATATTTTCTTTGATTGAGTAGGATCCCCTTCTTTGATCTTGAGACTTCAATTCCCAGGAAGTATCTTAATGTGCCTAAGTCCTTTACTTTGAACTTACTATGTAAAATTGTCTTGGCATCATTAATTAGACTGGAACAACTCCCAGTAGTTAGTAAATCATTCACATATATCAGTATAATGACCACCTCTTCTCCTTGGTGCTTTGTGAATAAGGAGTGATCAAATGCACTCTGTTTATAGCCATTCTGAGTAAGTGCATCAGTGAGTTTTATGTTCTATTGTCTGGATGCTTGTTTGAGACCATAGAGAGTTTTCATAAGCCTGCATACCTTCAACTCCCCCTGCTTGTGAAATCTCTGAGGTAACTGCATATAAACCTCCTCATAGAGATCTCCTTGTAGAAAGGCATTGCTCACATCCATTTGATACAGAATCCATCCTTTTGCAGCAGCTATACTAATAATGGTCCTGACTGTGACCATCTTGGCTACAGGGGAAAAGTTGTCATGGTAGTCCATCCCTTCCTTTTGATTATATCATTTTGCAACCAGCCCTGCCTTGCATCTCTTTACCTCTCCATTAGCTTTGTATTTGATTTTGTGTACCCATTTTGACCCAATGGCCTGCTTCCCAGCTGGTAAGTCCACTATCTCCCAAGTGTTATTGTCCTCAAGTGCTTTGATATCCTCTTTCATAGCTGTAACCCATCTGCTGTCATTGGAAGCCTGTTGGAAAGTGTTGGGTTCAACTTCAACTGAAAAAGCCTCCAAATATGCTTGATAACCTGTTGAGAGATTAGCATAAGTCAAAGTATTAGATAAGGGGTATAAGCAGCAACCAGTGAACTTCTTGGTGGTCTGATAATCCTTTAGCCAAACTGGAGGCTTTGATGTTCTTGTTGTCTTCCTAGAACCTTGATCATTAATAGGTTCCAGCCTGTTTATGTGAGGATCAATAGCAATCTCTGGTACATTGCTTGGGAGCAATTCTGCTGAAATATCTTGCACCTCATGTTCACCTTTAACTGCTTCTATATTTGGAGTTGTAAGATCAGTATCCAATATTTCTGCAATAGGTATATTGACATCTCCTGTGACTGGATTATTGTCTGTGGGTGGAATAGGAACATCTGTGGCTATAGTGGGGTATGATTCTTGTGGATCAGTAGTTGAAATTGATGATGAATAATCCGGTTGTAATGGCACAGTTGTTTGGGTAGGAAAACAGTCTTCTATAGTGGTTGTATTTTCTCTGAAAGGAAAGATATGTTCTCTAAAACTAACATCTCTGCTTACAAAAATAGAGTTAGTTCCAAGTCAAACAATTTATATCCTTTCTGAACTTCTGAGTACCCTATGAGGACTAATTTCCTTGCCCTCTTTGAAAACTTGTCTCCCTTTGGCAAATTGCTAGCAAAACATAAACACCCAAACACTTTCAAGTGATCAATAGCAGGTAGCTTTTTATACAAAATCTCATAAGGATACTTTCCATGTAATAAAGATGTAGGCCATTTATTGATCAAGTACACAACAATTTTAATACAGTCTCCCCAAAACCTGCTAAGCTTAATGCTCTAGCTACTTCAAGTATATGCCTATGTTTCCTTTCCACCACCCCATTCTGTTGGGATGTGTAGGGACAACTGATTTGATGCACAATACCTAAAGATGCTAGCAACTCATTACATCTAGAATTAAAAAACTCTTTCCCATTATCAGATCTTAACACTTTCACATTCATGTCAAATTGGGTTTTACCATTATAACAAAGTCTTTCAGCACTGTTACAACTTCAGACTTTGACTGCAATAAGCACACTCAGGTATACCTACTAAAATCATCCACAATCATAAGGAAATAATATTTTCTATCATATGTAGGCAATTTGTGAGGACCCCAAACATCAAGATGAATAATCTGGAAAATACAATCAGTTTTACTGCTGCTAAGAGGAAATTTCAATCTGCTTTGCTTAGCTAAAGGACACACTTCACAGTTGTGCTGTAGACTATCTACTGCTTCATTGCCATTATTGATGGATGTCCTAATTTCATATGCCAAAGACTGCTTTCATCATTCTCTTTGGTAACCATTGCTGCTCTAGGCTTCTCTCTCCACTTTAGTATATAAAGTCCACAATCCTCTCTACCAATCCCCATCACCTTCCCATTGTAAAGACCCTGCAAAAAAGTCAGGGAAGAATAGGGCACAACACCTCAATTCCTTGGTCAATTTGGAGACTGACAACAGGTTAAACTTAAAATCAGGAACATATAAGGCATCCTTCAATTCACATCCTCCTAGGATATATGCATTTCCTTTGTGTGCTACTGAACATTTGCTACCTGTTGGAACCTGCACTTTATGGTTTCTTTGTTGATTAATATTCTCTAAATTAGATAAGATCTCCTTATTACATGTAATATGATGAGATGCTCCTGTATCT